ATTTGACTTGAAACAACTAAACTGAAATGACTCAATGGAATTTTTTGGATATTGCATCAACAGCGTGATTATTGGACACATTTATATATATTGAAAAATATTAACGCAGTACATTTTTCAAAATGATGTGCGAGATGCACTTGCCATTAATTGTGCTTTTTATCGTTCTAACTTTTCTCGTGCAATATTGGGACAGTGACCATAGATGAGAAAAAAAGTTTACTATCAGGTCGCCAGTCTATAGGATAGGATAATATTTATTCAAAGTCGGATAGATCAACAAGATAGGAAAAACTTTGCATGAAATAAACGTAAAATGTGAAATGTGAAATGTTTTGTTATAACAAGCTGGACATTCCCGCCGTATAAATAAAGTCATCTACGTAGCACTATCTATATTTAGAGATAATACTTCTTTAAATGTCCTTCTCGATTAGGGAACAATCGCGAGTTTCTGCAACACCCTCTTTTGAAAATGAATAGACATGAATTTGAAAAAGGTGGTTACCGGTACCTACTTTTGAATATGAGAACCCGAGGTCCTCAATCTGACTAAAATCGCTGTATACAGCGAAATCAGAATTTCGGAGCGTAACAAAGATCTGATTTTAATTAGATTGCCGAGGTCCTGAAATGCATTAAACAGCATGGTTGGATTTACCTTTGACTCATAGACATTTTTATTTAAAAAAAATATTGACAATAAAAAGCTCAGAATTCCAAAAGTAGATCACTGGTCCTTTTCTCTGATTAATTGTCACATCCTTTGATCTGAAGTTGCGTCAACCAACAAGATTTGTTGGGCCTTCATAGTGTCAAAGAAATCTATCTAAAAAGATTTAAAAATAAATAGCTATACACATTTATTTCAAAAATAGGTAATTGTGACCTACATCCAAGGTCCAAAAATGCAGCAGCCAACAAGGTTTGATGGTCCTTGGACTCGAAGATATACATGCATCTATATAAATAATAAAAAATAAAAAATGAAGATCATCACCGTAAAAAGTACCCTACTATGACCTCTTTCAGTAGACTTATCCCATGATATATCAACCAATAAAATTCTTCAATAATGACCATCAATCTCAAAATGGCAGAGATACTTATCCTAAATTGTTAACAAAATGAACATAAAGTATGACATATTTTTGGGTCGACAGACCCTTAGCCCCAAAGATGCATTAACTTTCTAAGTTTAAGGACCTAACGCCGCATTTTGTTCAAAATGTGTAGCATGAAGTATTTTTAAATGTAAAACCATAATTTTAAAAGGTAGATAAGTGTTACCCTATTTAATCAACACATCGCAAGGCCCCCCAAATGCACCCATTAACAATTTTTATTTTTTTTTTTAAATTTTTATTTTTTTTATTTTTGAGGATCTGAGGCCTCTGACATGGCGTAGAAACCGAAGGGGGGCACAAGGGTGATGCATCCCAATAATTTTGCCGATATATAGAATACTATAGAAAACATAGCTACTACATGTATATGCTTGTGCCCCCTCAATGATAACATTTGATGAACTCTTTTTTGCTTTCCAGGAATTTTTTGAATTTTGGTAGTGAACCCCCCCAAAGTCGTGCCCCCCCCCAAAAAAAAAAAACAAAAAAACAAACTGAAATTGCTTCTTACGGGCCTGTCTAGTATCCATAAATTTAGATAAAAGGATTTGAACAATCAGGAAGAAGGTCAACATGACCTACTTTTTTGGTTGACCTGACTTCAAGTCCTAAGATCCATCTGTACAGATTGATCATGAACTCCCATAGTTTTGGCGACTAAAGTATTTCATTTTCCCTTCAAAACCCATTAACAAACTTAAGAGTAACATTCTTTAGCAGCGACTTGATTTTTTTCAACTGAAAATCTTCGGTAAACATTTTACAGTAATCTCTCTTTGTCTGTATGCAATCATTCTAATGCAAATATCACAGTTCTGTTTGACAACTTGAAATTTTTTTTTGGCACGCATGGGCTCCGATTTTGATAAAACTGCTCATTTATAAACATAAATGAATAAAATTTGGTTGCTATATACCCTGGCCTGGTTGCCTTTGTAACAGACGGAAACATTTCAAAAAATGAGATTTTTGGCTACTTGGAATCTTTATTGAGCTTCAGTAAGGACAAAGAAAACCTCATTGAACATTACACAAAATCATTAAATTAAGTTGCTACTTATGATGTAAAGAAATTATTCGGAATATACATGAGCAGTACCTGGCCATAAGAGTGTCATAATTTTATCTACCACTGAATATTTCATTATAGAATATATTTTTCTAAAATGTTATTGCAATGCTATTTGTGACTCTTTTTTTTTTTAATAACTAAAACACCATTAAATGTAGAATTCTTTGCAGTTTCTTCACATATAATTTTCAAAGTAATTTTATCTGTAGGCATTGCGGTGATATCATAAGACAAGTGCGATGTTAAAATTTTACGACTCTCATTTGTTAAGAAATCATAGTAATTTTGAGGTTAGGAATTTTGCCTTGATGATTTCATAAATTATTCTCAATGATTAGTGTATCATTTTATTTAGCATTTTAAGACAAGAAAATTTGAACAACCCTGCATGATTTAGTGAAAAAAAAAATCATGGAAATTGTGATAAAATATATTGTCATCACAATAAGTTTTTATAAAAATTGTTTTTTTTTTTTTCAATTAATAAAAGATGTAGTGTAAACATGTCATTATATGGCCATATTATGTATACTGTCATAAGTGATAACAATGACTATATTTGGCTTACATTTTATGTGCTGAAAAATGCTCACAACATATATTTACTAATTATAGAAGTCAAATGGCAGAAAAAAAAGTTGACCTTATGTAAATAGCAATATTATTATGATAAGAAATATTTTAGTTGCTATGGTAATGCAGCAAAGCACAATTTGTGGCTTAGATTTCATTCATAACGCCATTTCGTGGAAAGACGGGGATAAAATGAAAATCTTTAATAGTATCTTGAATTAATTTTTAAGGCCTTGTTACGCAGTGCGCGGGAATAAAGAAAATAGAGAAATTATTGCTATATTATGGTAACCATGGAAACAACATAGTAGTGGATTTAGTAATTATTTCTTGCTGAAAATCCCCACTCTCTGATACTAAAAGAGAGCATTTTAATTAGTTTCAGAGAGTGGGGATTTTTAAAAAAAGGTTAGTTTTAGGTTATATTTTGGGTTTTTCAAGTGTAACTTGCGAGGGTTGTTCGAAAAGTTCGTGGACTACAGTCATAACTTTTTTACTGAACGTCATATTATATCCAAATTTGGAAGAAATATTTCAACAGTAAATTCAAATGATGTGTATCCAAAATTTTTAAAATATCGTGGTATATTTCAAACTTATTTAGACTTTAAAAATGCAAAAATCGGATCACGGAGCAGGTCAAAATTTTGTAATTTACAATGAAGACACTAAATAATGTCTGAAGTCATTTGTTCTGTAAAATGACTCAAAAACGGAAAAAAATTCTACAGGTTCAAATTAAGAATTGTTTCATCGTTTCTGATTCCAAATTATGACTTAAAATTTTGCTTCGTTGAAAAGAAATCAGTTTCAGAAGATAGGTAGTCCTCATTGAAAAGGGCGAAAAAGATGACGTCGTAAAAAGTCCCGGAACAGCAGTTAATCATACAATTTTGTGTTGTACTCTGGAAAACTCCAGAAAAAAACTCTGAAAATGCCGGAGGAAGTAAGAAATGTGTCAAAAGTGAGCCATGCATGTGTGTGTACCTGGTACAAGCGGTATTTGAATGATAGACTACCCTGCTTAGACGATGGTGATCTGTGAGAAAACGGATTATCTGTAAAAATCTTATCAAAAACATGAAAAAGTTAGTAACGTCATGCTAAGAGTTTGGGGCTTTACAGATAGATGCTGATCTTGTGAAAGCACACTTATGCAGTGAAAAAAATATAACATTGACAAACAAAATAATGCTACTGGAACAATTGTTAGCAAAATAGATTTCAAGTGATAGAGAAATGTTTTTAATAAGTGCACTGGTATTGGGCAATACTGTGTGAAATGTATAGGGATAGTATTTTTGAGAACCTCATGTCGGTACGTTTTTTACGTTACGGTGTTGTTGAGTTTGCTCCGTGGTTACAAAACGTGTTGATTTTAAAATTAAATAACATAAATTCTTTTAAATCACATGGAATGAAACTTCACACTTAAACAAAATAAATATTTTTACATATGATAATGGGCTCAATTTAAATTTCTTGATGGTAGTATAACGAAGATTGGCATAGTACACGAACTTTCCGAACAACCCTCGTACTTTGTGAATATGTCATAGAAAAATGTTTTATGAAAAAAAGATCGAAGAAGCTTCAGGGTACGGCACACCGGGTGGGGGTTGTGATGGTGGTGTTCGCTTCCCTAAGCACCCGTGGATTTTCATATAATTTCCATAGCAACGCTCTATTTTTAGAATAAATTTTTAACCTTTTGAAACAATCAATGATATTGAGACCACATCATGATCTGCTGGAAGGTATATAGAAATGCTCTGTGGAAAAATAGAAACATATGAAAATATATACAGACATAAAGAATAAAACCTTAAGTCGCTGCCGTCAAAGGATTCTGGCGAGCAATATAATCTTTGAAGCACGGGAATGATGACATTCCGCACGCTCCATAAGAAAAAGAGAACCCACCTGTCCGGGGGACTGATAACCGAGGAAGCAAGTGTACCGTATGTAAACCACGGACCAGGAATAGGTAATTTATGCAAATTATAACGTGTACTTATTATAAACTGCAGTTAAATATTGACCACTTTTTCTAAAAAGTTTTATAGCATATACTGTAAATAGACACAACATTTATAGAGATATTAAGTAAATAGTGTGGTTGTCACGAATTTTGAAGTGCTTATTTTCTATGGTAAATTGGCATTGCCTTAAATCAATGTTTTTCACAATGTACGTGCATTTTTTTTCAGTGACAAAAGAAGTGATATCCCTCAACAAAAATGGTGTCTAAAGTAAATTTTGCATTGTTTGGTTTCGGGAATATGGGTAACCATTTTTATCATTTTAGCATAATGTACAAATCTATTTACCACTAGTTCTTCAAATTGTTCTGTACTTGATGGCCAGAAGTGCAGATAAAAGTTCAGGATGACATCAATTAAGGAATAACTGTCTAATTTTTTGGATTCATGATGTGATCAATCGAGTGGCTTGTGTGATAATTTGCATAAACGCCGAAGGCGTTTATGCATAAAATTATCACGCAAGCCAATCGATTGATCATCGTCATGAATCCAAAAAATCTGACAGTTATTCCTTATATTTACATGCTCCTGATTCTGCAAATTCCCGTGCTAATAGTCCCGCTTCTGTCTCTATTTGTCCCGCCCCGCACGTGATTTTTTTTTAACCGCGCCTCTCGATGAACCAGTAGATTTATGTAGAAATAAAGTATTTTTACAGTTTGTAATTTTATCTCGGACAAAGACATTGGAAATGTAAATATATGACTTATAATTGAATATTTACATTTCCAATGTCTTTGTCCGAGATAAAATTACAAATTGTAAAAATACTTCATTTCTACATAAATCTACTGGTTCATCGATAGGCGCGGTTAAAAACAAATTACGTGCGGGGCAGGACAAATAGAGACAGAAGCGGGGCTATTAGCACGGGAATTTGCAGAATCAGGAGCATGTAAATATAAGGAATAACTGTCAGATTTTTTGGATTCATGACGATGATCAATCGATTGGCTTGCGTGATAATTTTATGCATAAACGCCTTCGGCGTTTATGCAAATTATCACGCAAGCCCCTCGATTGATCACATCATGAATCCAAAAAATTAGACAGTTATTCCTTAAATAAATTGATCCAGATAAATTGACATCTCTTCTCCAGAAATGTTAAATGTAATACAGTCAAACATTGTTATCTCAAATTCGATGGGACTGTTGAAAAACTTTGAGATATACGAGTATTCGAGATATCAAGGGTAAAATACTTAAAGAATAAGTGGTTGGGACTTCTAAATAACTTTGACATATCCATGGTATTCGAGATATCAGTGTTCGAGAGACCAAAGTTCAACTGTAGTTATCAATATGCTACCAATAATTAATTAAACTGTGAAAAAAAAATTATGTTTCGTATCTCTTAAGAATTCACGAAAATGCAATACTGTCATTGTTACTTTATTGCTTGTTACTTGCTTTAGGTTTGGCTCACATGAAGAATATTCTGACATCCCCCAGGGCAGCAGTGAAGTGGGTAGTCAGGAACAAAATTGAGGAGGCTAAGAAGTTTGTTCAGGATTACAACCTAGCAGCCCGGTGTACGACTCCTGACAGTTTGGAAGGACTGTATAATGATCCAGAGTAGGTCAATCATGGTTTAAATATCAAAGGATGAAAGGATGGAGAAAAAGATGCTTCCTAATATATCATCATTGCAAACTACAGAGTTTTTGTGTTCATGCAGTCTATTTCCACTATTTGTGGAAACAGAGTGGACAGAAAAAAAAACTCTCGCTAGCCATGATGCTGAAGTGTAAACATTTTTATGCTTTGTTTGTACAGGATGAGTTGTCTACCTTGAACACATGAACATTGCACATACTCAATATTTTCACAGATCAATCAGAAAAATTTATGCAAAGTGTTTGATTCTTTTCCATTTCAAATGTTAGAGTTTTATGTTATTTTTTTATGTTTTATATGTAATACAGTTGAACTTTGGTATCTCGAACACTGATATCTTAAATACTATGGATATGTCGAACTGATTTGGAAGTCCCAAATACTTATTCTTTAAGTATTTTACCCTCAATATCTCGAATCCTCGGATGTCTCCAAGTTTTTTTTAGTCCCATTGAGTTCAAAATAACGAGGTTTGACTGTAGATGTACAAGTATCTAAGATCTTCTACTCCTGGTAAAAGGATTTTAATTCAATTCCCTGCAGAGTGAATGCAGTACTGATTTGTTCCCCTACTTCTACACATGAGCCATTAATCAGGGACTCTCTACTGGCAGGTCAGTGCTAATAGCATAAAAACAAACCTTGAAAATCAACAGAAAAAATGAATTATCAACAAAGTTAAAGAACTACTAAAATAATATTCAGTCTAAAATATATCTGTTTGCTAAAAATTGTTGCAGAGCAGCATGAATACTACATATTGTTGCTTTACAGGGAAAGCTGTGTTCTGTGAGAAACCTATTACAGATGCTATAGATTCTACAGCAGCGTGCTATGATTTAGCAGAAAAACAAAAGAAGGCATTGTTCAATGCAATGCATAGGTAAATTTCTAATTGACATTTACATATATATGAATGAAACAATCTTCTGTAGACTGTACTTTAATAACTATAAGATGCAGCTCAAATGAATAAATTATACACATAAATATTTGATGAAAAACATTTAGATTCATACTTTCATAAAATAATTGTACAAAAATAATTTTTCCAATGTTGTATGTGCATTAAAGTGCGTAGGGTTTGCTTTTGTCTCTTTGTTGTTAGGAATGCTATACAAAGAGGCCTTTAGTATATTTACAAAAATAAGGGTGGTACAAAATTAGTTTGAAGACAGTGTAAGACCTCCATGTAAAAAAGGCATATTTCTTTCATAGGAGGTTTGAACCAAATTTTCGGAGTGTTCGAGAGAAGATCATGAAAAAGGAATTGGGCAATCTCCGTCTGATTAAGCTTACAAGCAGAGATTTGGCTCCTCCTCCTATTTCGTACATTAAAACTTCAGGTTTGTGAAAAATAAGGAAAATTCATCATGTCCTGATTTCACATATATTATTAGTATTAGGTTTGAAAATCTGACCATACTTCTAAGTTGATTCTTTTTTATGCCTCCCTTCGAAGAAGGGAGGGCATATTGCTTTGCTGCTGTCTGTCTGTCAGTCTGTCTGTTGGTCCACCAACAGTTTCCGTTCATTTTCTTCACGGAGGTTGCACATACTGAAATGAAATTTGGTATACAGATTTATCATAAGAATATCTAAGTCAAGTCCTGTTATGGGCACGATCGAGCAAACCCTATAATGTATGTCCGGGGGGGGGGGGGGGGGGGGGGGGGGGGGGCATAAGTGTTTCACAAACATCTCTTGTTGCATTTTACATAGCAATTTCAGATCCTTCATACATGTGTTTTAAAAACCATTAATGGCAAATTAAAGGTATATGATCCTTAATATGGATGTATTAACAATATCTGTTGAAATCATGTTCCATTTCTTAACTTGTTTAGATTTCTTCTCAATCCCAAGCTTTCACACATTGCAGGTGGAATTATTTATGACTCCACAATACATGACCTTGACATGTCCTTGTGGCTAGCCGGTTCTGAACCAGAATCTGTGTATGTGAGTGCCTCAGCATTTGACCCCAGTATTGCCAGTTGTGATGACTATGACCAGGTGTTGGTTACCATTAAATTCAAAAATGGAGTTGTGTCTTCTGTGGAGAATGGAAGAGTGGCTCCGTATGGTTACGACCAGAGGTTGGAGGTCAGTATCTCTTGGTTAAAGAAGAATTAGGTCAAATAAAGGGTAAAGGAAAAAAAAAAAAGGCCCCAAAAAACTTAAAAGACATTTAAATATAGTCAAACCTCGTTATTTCGAACTTGATGGGACCGAAAAAAAACTTCCGAGATATCGGAGTGTTTGAGATGATTGAGGGTAATACATGTATACTTGAGGATAAAGTGCTTCCAAATCACTTCAACATATCCATGGTATTCAAGATATCAGTGTTTGAGATATCGAAGTTCAGCTATATTAATGGATGTGGATTTGTCTGTCAAACTTAAGCTATTCATTTGAAAAAAAAAAGAGAAAAATTTGGTGCTTGTATCAATTGTTGTTGATCATCAAAATCCAGAACCAAGGTCATTTAAACAAGATCAAGGTCAGAGGAGCAGGATGATGCTTATATTTAGCTGGGTCATGATTTGTAATGCAGGGATTGTAGTAGCTCATACTTAATATAAAGGTTGTTTATCACCAGAAAAATCATTCTATTCATTCACCAGAAAAATCATATTGCATATTTCTTAAACTTTTATGGTATCCATAAACATTTTCAAGGCCTAACTGACATTAATTATTGTTAGGATAATATGCAAAGATTGTGACCTTGTTAGAAGATTCTCTGTATTTTCTGGAAAATGAAATGACAGGCAAAAAATGCAAATTTTCGTGATTTAATTGAGGAAATATATTGTTCATGGGGATTTGATTTCAAGGATGAAGAAGCATTGAAATTTTAGTATTATATGGAGGACATGAATTCATGGTCTCTTCATTCCACAAAAATAATGCAAAATTAAACCCATATGAAAATGTAGTGATTTCATGATTTCAGTAATTTTCAGTATAAAATGAAAAAATCTGAATTTTTTCAGGTTCTATGTGACAAAGGTATGATAAGTGTTGAGAATAAGACATCCAACTTGATTACGGAACACCTTGCTGGTGTGACTTCTGCTCCCAGGATAGCTGACCACTTCACCAGCAGGTACCCCCAGGCATACGCTGCCGAGTTGGAGCACTTTCTGGATGTATTGCAAGGTAAAAATAAATACCAGAACTTGAATATTATTATACCCCCTCCTGAAAAGCAGGGGGTATATAGTGATGGGGGGATGTCTGTCCATCCGTCCATCTGTTATACTTTGAGGTACCAATCTCTTATCCACAACTCCTCTTACACCTCCGAATGAAATTTAATGATACTTTCACAGAAGCTTTGTAACATAGTGCCATTGTGCACCTCCTATTTTACTTTTTGATCGGACACATATTTGGGGTTTCCCAAAGCAAAACAAGGACACTGCCATTTTTTCTGTAATATTGAAGAGTACCCATCTCTTATCCGCGCTCTTATCCGCAACTCCTCCTATACCACTGAATAAAATTTAATGATACGTACTTTCACAGTTTCTTTATTACATGGTTCTATTTTACTTTTTGATCTGACCCTTATTTCGGGTCTCATACAGCAAAACCAAAACATGGACTTTGCCATAATAATCATATGGGAGGCGGAAGCATCATTTAGTGAGCTCAGTGCTCAAAGAACATTGTACCTCTAGTTTAGACCAAGATTTATCCCCCATAAATTATGTGTACAGTAATAAGATTGAAAGTTTATTCCCATTTTAATAGGGATACTTAATTCAGATAAAAAAAAATTTATCCTTACCAAATTACTTGCATATTTATTTCCAGATTGAAATTTGAATCCTAAACAAATCATCCATACATTTATTTTTTTATTTATTTAATCCCCATTATAATTGCAATAAATGTAATATCCTTGTATGTGGGTGATGTTCTTATGAGTGCATACCATGCCTAATGGGAATAATATTAAGCACTTTGTTGTGCAGTGTACTATTTATGTGAAATTGTTTAAGAAAAGTTGGAAACTGGATGAATTAAAGTTGTTTAATGTTCAGTGTTCACCGAAATCTACAGTATTGACTAGAGTCATCTGACAAAAACATTTTTACAATATCTGGCGGGACTGCATCTTAAAATTTAAATACAGTAACATTTAATCTTCTTTCAATCTTTCAGTGCAAAAATACACATAGATGTAAAATTTATTTATGAAGTTTCCTGTAAATGAACAGATTAGTTTCACAATAACATGACTCTCATTTCTGATCTGTATAGCAGAAATGTCTTCCTTTTTACAGGAAAAGCAGAATTACAGGTCAAGAAAGAGGACACACTGAATGCCATGCGATTGGTCCGAGCCTGTCAAAAATCTATCGCAGCTAAAGGACCAGTTACCATAGAAACAGAAGTCTGATAGTAGGTGTAATTAGGTTAAAAAAGAGTTTATTTGTATAAATTTTGTCTTTCAATTAATTTTTTAAAATCATATATATAAAATTTTAGAATGCAGTTTTCCATATTATACTGGTATATGTAGCAAACATTTGCCTTTTTATGCAGGCTCTGAACTTAATGAGTTATGAATATGATGATTATGAATAATAATGTTATGCCCTGTTCACACGGAGAGTTTAATTCGAATTAAACGTAAGTTACTGCGAATTAAATTTGATCCGCGTTCACACGGAGAATTTAATGCGAATTAGTTTAATTCGAATTAGTTTACTGCGCATTAAATTACTTCGCATTAGCTCTGTGTGAACGCTAAGCGAAGCTAATTCGAATTAAATTTTGACGCATGCGTAAGTGCAGAATTAAGTCACAGGTCACATGTCGATGATCAAATATACAATGTAGGTACTTGTGCTATTTTTGAGTGGAAAACAAAGGAAAATTATGTTAATAACTAAAATGTGTACCTGTAGACACTGACATTATGTCAAATGTATATTTGCTGGGCACAATATGACGTGATTTGTAAATGACGTCATAATAGCCTCACTGAATAGCCTTGTTGTAGAAATAAAATTATAATTCGCATTAGTTTACTTCGCATTAGCTGTCGTGTGAACGCAATTTAATTCGCATTAGTTTAATTCGCATCATTTTACTTCGCATTAATTTACTGCGAATTAAACTCTCCGTGTGAACAGGGCATTAATTTTACATAATATGCTTTATGAGTAATTAAGGTATTGATGTAAGTATTGGATGTCGATTGAGTAAATATATTGTTTTGATTATAACATTATACCTTAATGCCCTAAATGTTGTTATTTCTCTGGACAGAATAAAGTCTTTCTATACCAAAATAAATGTTTCGTTTTATTTTTAAGGAGGCTGGGGGGTCAACAAATTAACCACAAATTAACCAGCAGATTTAACTTAATTTTTTAGATATGATATCTTAAGCTGTCAACTATCATTTGGCAAAGAAAAATTTCAAAAATTTTAGTTTTCAAATTTGATCATTTTCTATATCTTCATATGGAGCTCTTCTTCTAAAGGAGATCAATATAGTCTAAAAATGGCCACAACCCCCCAGCCTCTTTAAGTATCTTTCAAGAGGAATAACTCTGTCAACTGTCTTCTAAAAAACAAGTTTTATACTGAACTTTCAAAAATGAAGATGCAGGCTTACACACAACTGTGTGCCATAAAATAAACATGATATAGTTTTATCATCGTCGGTAACCCACAGGTGATTCACATCGATTCTCTCTATCATCGGTAGCTTGTGGACTCAAAACCATGGTTTGCGACAATGTAGCTTTATATAAAAAAGAAATTGGTAATTCTACACATATATATAAAAAAGCATTCAGTTCAAAAAGGTTTCTGTGAAATGTCTTTTTTTGCCATTTTCCTTATCAGGTTTTCTGTTGCATGTGTAAAGGAATAATTTTCCTCTGCTTTTACAATAACTCTTGGACCAGACCATTTTTGATAAAGGGAAGATAACTCTCATCAACAAATGTTTTTAAAAAATTTTAATCTAAAGGATGTTAATCTTTTGGGTTATTACTGCCTGCATGTCTGGTAACACAAGTGCATTGATATGGAATTGTGGGATAGGTTTCAGTTCAAAGCCTTTATTGGTTTTCATTTAACGAAAAATAACACAATTTTTTTTCTTTCAAAATTATGGTGTTCCAATCATTGATTATAATCGAAAATCAGTCGATTGTTGGCATAATCCAAGCACTCAATTACCGGTACAAAAAATTTTATTCTGATTAATCGGTTTATTTTTTTTTTTACAAGCTAATAGTTTTTAAGCTGAATATTACAGCCACAGCTTATCTATTAACCTTTTTGTGTATCGTAATGGTGCAGATGAACAGACAATTATATGCATACCTGGGTAACAAAGCACATTCCAGGGTATGGGTGTACTTTGGGTTCTACAAAATGAATGAAGGACCAGCTGGACCACCACAGAAAGAAGTCATTTACCCATTCTTACTATTTAATTAACTAAATTGATTGACTTTGTAAATATCCGACTATAATCAGTAATTAGTTAGTTACAGTAACCTGATCATCAATTATGAAATTCTTACTGATTCCTATCACTATCCAAAATTCAAATATCTGCTTAAATAGATGCCCCCCTCTCTCTCTAAAGAAGTGATACAACTTTATGTTTGCATTACCTATACACATCATTTGGTTTAAAGTGTGAAAATGTAACTTTATGGTTCAATATAACTTTTGAAAAAGTTTTAGAAATATACAAGTTTTGTTACAACGTTTTTGAAATTTTTTTCAAGAGTCTATTTTAACGTTTTGCACAACTAAAATTTTCTAATTTGACTTTTATTGAAAGAAATATTGCAAAAATAATTGTAACTCTTCTGTGTGGAAGATAAGAAAATTTGTTTGTGGTGTGTATCTTTAAGTTTAGAAATGACATTTGGTTAATATACAAGCATAAACAAAAATTCTACAGGTTTTTACAATTTTATTGTTCTGCTCTATCAGCAGATCTGTTTCCATTAAATTACAGTACATGTAGTTAGATCAATGTCTCACTGAAAACTAAGTAGACAAGACAGAAAATATTCAACCTACTAAAGCACTATTAGCTGTCAACTTGCAGAATTATATATACAAAATGTACCGAAATCTACAGTATTGACTAGAGTCATCCGACAAAAACATTTATACAATATCTGGCGGGACTGCATCTTAATTTAAATACAGTAACATTTTTTTAATTTTGTAAATAATTAAGTACACCATGTAACCAATACAAAATCGGCATACTCCTTAAAAAAGACAAAGTTTTTATAAAATTAAAATTGAGGAAATGATTGATGAATCTAAAAGTGTTCAAAAAATGAAATATTGGAGAAGTAAAAAAGGAGATAATTATACAACAATTAACCAGGGAAAATAGAATATCAGCATGATCAGCCATGCTTTTGAGACTTGGCCCCCTGTTGGCGAATAATAAAGGCTTATATGTACATCCCTTTTGGTCATCACAATATTGTACAAAGGATATCATGAATGACATATGATTTTCGAAAAAACTAAAAGAGATGGAATGAAGCCATAGAACATAAACAAAGTTGGCTGACTTAATGAAAGATCTAGTGGGGGTGTATTTTATGGAACTTCTAAGTGACGAAAAGGTGAAGTGACCATAAAATATTTTAAAGGCAATGTACAAGAAACTGGTTTAAGAGAGATTTAATCCATCTTCCAGCACTTTGTTGGGTGAGATTTTGTTTGATATAGCACCATTACTTTTTTTTAATATGTGTATCCAAGATACCAATTATACATGGTTTTAGAGTCAGTTATTATGGAAGATATGGAAAGACTAAGGGCACACAATTATCAAATGGCAGAAAAATATTAACTCCATGATATTTTGTGATATTAAAAAGTTCATCTTCCATGAAGGTAAACTACACATGAAATAAATATAAGAACATTTCATGTTAAAGTCGGTATCACATGTTCCACTCAAACGACAATGTGTATATTTGTTATCACACACAGACACATTTAATCCCAATATAAGCTTGCATTTTTTTTTTGGCAGTGACAAATCACATTGAGGGGCATGGCCTGTCCATCTGCCACATGGACAAACACCATTAACTTCCTATATCATGAAGAGCTCATGTTCCGCGTAATGGTGTTCGAGTGAAATCCTTCAATTCCTCCATCATATCGGAGACGTACGTCACTAACCCCTCGGTGACCGACGTGAGAATACACATCCTTATACAGACTCATTCTCATACGCAGTGAATTATGGGAGAATTTCACTTTTTGCTAATGAACACAATAATTAACAATATAGGATCATTTGGTCTTTTTGTTCCCGAATCCAAACCAGCCTTTCTTTTTCTGAACCTTTTTTCCATATGACCTAGGTAACGTAGCATGTGAAGGCATCCCTCGTACAAAGTCTTTCTGATAATTCACCTGTCCGCCAGATCGCTGCTTTTCTGAAATTTTAAAATAAACATGCATTCACTTAGATTTTTTTATTACATTGTAACAGAAAAGCCAAGATTTAAATACACACTAAAATTTCCCCTATATTAACAGTATTTTTTTGTGATTATACATTATAAGATTTCTTGGTATGAGCATTAGATCTCTGTAAGAAATTCATACAATATGTAAGCATTTAAAACAAAAATTTATAATTTTCCCTCCTTTGAACCTCAACACATTACCTTGACTGGACTTGATTTTATTCAGAACCATCCGTTTCCAGTAGAGAGGAACAAAATCTGAAAAGAGATTTCCATTCTTGTACATGAATTCCATAATTAATATTCACTTTACATTTAAAATTTTTCATACATCAGTTCTTTTGAAACATGATAGATTAAATATATGCAACATCATTTTAAAATTAAAGTTCGCGGTTCATATGTCAGGAAAAGATTTTTTTTCACAAAGTGACCCAGATTAAAAACAGATAAATTTTTTTTGTAAGGTCTCCTTTCAAAGGGTGATACACACCATAACTCTTAGTTAAATATTTCATACGGAAAGAATTCAGCAAAAGCAAATAGTTTTTGATCATTAGCCTACACAGTAACAAAAAAATCTTGACGTTTTATTCTTCCTGCTCTTGACATTTTAACGTCTAGTAAAATATTAATAAAAACTCACTGTTTTCCTGGTCTTCTTTCACTCTTTTTCGTTCACTGGTGAACGCTTTCATCCATTTCTCTTTCTCTGCAGCGCTCCGTGCCACCAGAAGATACCATTTGTCTCGGGAAATCTCGTGAATTTTCCAGGCGTTTTTCACTGTAACATTATATTGGGTATCTAATGTAAGGAGAAATGGGAAAATATGAATCTCTTTGAAAAAAAAATTTGGAAAATATACATGTAACTTTATTTTTAATAATCAAATAGCACATTTGACAGAGAATTCTAAAACCATGCTAAGAAAAGACTGCCAAGGAATAAATCACAATTAGTTAAATTAATTGCAATTAATTAGTCTATCAAATTTACCTTTTCCATCTTCAATATCAATAATTTCACTATCATCTAGATCTATCCTTCCCTTGTAACTATAGCCATTCTTCTTCAATAGATCCTAAAAAGGAAACATTTTCCATTGAAACTAAGGCATTCATTTTTTATTTCTCAGCTTAATGTTTATAAAAAAAAAAAAATCTGTTTTCAATACCTGTTCTGTTCAATTCTATTCATAAATTATTTGAATAAGGAGACCTAATCTTTTTTAGAGAAAAACATATGTGTACAATGTAGTTATATTGTAAAATAATGTAGATTAGTTGTCAATATTTCATCTTTCATTTGTTGAAAGCTCAGTATATTCCATTCAATGTTAATTAATAAATCTGGAAGAGCCTGATCAAATCTGTCCAAAACATAATTATCTTCCAAACAGCATCTGCTTTCATATTTCTATATGGATACCTGTATTTACCTTTTTGCAGTACACTAACTGATGATCAAACAGGAAAAAGTTCCTTTCCTGGGACCAACCCGCAGAATTGACTTTGTTCATTTCTCCCGCAAATATCAATTCCGAGCTATCCTCCAGAAGGTCAGGACCCTGGAAAATAAAATCAATGATAATCACTATATTATTCCTAGAAAACACCATCTAAACAGACATGGCTGATTAATGAAAGCCTT